ACCTGCCCGATTTTTACCTATGAGGATATCCGGTGGGCTTAATCAGATATGTATTGCACGCTAGATCATTTAAATGACAATCGGTACGTGTTGTAGATTGTTTGCTACAGCGATAATAACACATACATCCAACAGTCACGGCAGTGTAATGAACGGCTCAGTTGCACCGGCAAAGGATGGATGGTGCGCAGTCACGACACCCAGCACATATTCCCCTTCCACGACAAGCCGCGTCTACCTGATAAACCATGCCGGATTGGCTGGTGCAACTACGGTGCGGCCGTATGACGCGATTAGTTCCTTCCTGACATGTTAAAATGACCCAGCCTTACATGCGTGAGGGACACGCGCGGGTGTTTCCCGCGCAATCCCCTATCCACCCTGCCATCCAAGCTATGAAATATCCATTCGAGAGCACGGCAGAAACCGTCCGCGCTGTCAAAGATAATCTCATGTGGACGTCAAAGACGTACTGTGTAGACACCGCCCGGCGTTTCTATTGGTGCGAATGTAGATTTTTCAGAGATGACGTCGCCAGCTAGGCGCGGTCATCTAGGCTGTCACCTTATCCGCGAGATGTCCTTGCGACGGTGGGTATTTTTAAGAAGACCATTGTATGGCACTGTAATATGTTCCCGTAACACTTCTAGTCTAGCTCAACACAATTGATGATGGAGCCTGCACCTTCTCCGTACTCACCTGTGAGGCGCTCTGGCAGGAGCAATGCCGACGTGCGGAACTCGAGTGACGACATGGTGTATTATGGCTGTGGAAATCAATCTCCTCGCACTGGCGGACGTGCGGGTTGCACCCGTCTACATCCGAAGACACCACGCCTGGCAACGAGCCGCGTGCAGAAACAGAGACCGAGTACCTGCCGTGGGCGGACCGCCAGGAAGACCGCCTGGACGTGGAGGACGATGACAACAAGGAGGACAGCTTGATGCCTGAAGAACTCCCTGTGGACGAGGAGGCTGAAGGTAGTATGTTTGTGAATGTTATGTACGAGGAGACAGTAATACTATGCTATCCATGCTTGTGAATGTGCGCAACATGTTTTTATACTGACGGTCTTACATGCGCTTGGTCGGCTGCATTCTCTTGACCTCTCATCTCACAGCTGAAGGCCGCGAGCACCGCCCTATATCCGAGGTGATGGCGCCATTGAGCCAGGCTACTGCAGAGGAGCAACGCCCCAGTGGGCGTGGGCCCACAGGGAACCGTCACACGGCTAACACCATACATGCGCCATCCACTCCTGACGTGTCAATCGACGCTACGATTGCCGCTCGGGTCGCGGAGCAGGAACGTCATATTCACGAGCTGAACCAGACGATTGAGAGGCTCAAGGGGAATCGCGGCCCGGCCAGGAGCCCTTCAGCTCCGCGTGATGCGCCACGGGCTGCTTGCGCACGTGCCGTCGCAGTGGATGAGCCCACACCATCACACCAGTGCACAGCTGCGGGCCGCGTCAGCGGGCGACAGGCAGAGGTAACAGGCAAGACACGAGCGCCCATGGTAAAAGTGGCTCTCGCCCGTGAGATTCGACGGGCGAACACCGGGGGTCGAGCCACGCCTGATATGGCCAACTGGGCCGACCGTCTTCAGGATGCGCACGTGTTCTTCCCGAATATGGACGACCGGTTCAAGGTTCGTGATTGAGCATCTGGCGGTGCGACTTTTTTATTTGTTTAAAAAAATTGGACGTCTCCGTTATTCTCCAACTAACCCTACTTCTCTATTACATGCTTCCTATGCGCTCGCCTGTTGCCGGCCAGGCTATAGTCGAGGACATGATAAAGATTCTGACGTACGACACGTCAGTCGCTCTACTCACGTTTTGGATGCCTCCCGCGCTGCTCGAGCGTCTCCTGGCGCGCGCTATGCGAATCACCAGTCAGGCACACCGCACCATGCTCCATATGCTGTTGGAGCACGACGGGAAACGTGCAGGGTGGATTACTCGCCGAATACAAGTCTCGCGCAACACCAAATGGGAGCAGGGACGAGCGTATGTCTACATCCTGCACGGAATACCGTATAACGCTGGCTCCAATCCACGCATCTCCCTGCCGGTGACCTCAAGCACACTGGAAGTGCCACGCATCACCCGCAAGCAGTTCATCGAGCACCACCCTGCTGGTGAGTCCAGAGCGCCATTTATTGTGGATTCCCTTTCCGAAACATGTTTGCTTCTGTTGAATCTGAATCGGGGTGATCCGTTTTTCCCTTTCCTGATTCAGGCAATGCGATGTTCGAGCTGCACCCCTGGCACCGCAACGCAGCTGGCATACCGTTTGCAACGGAGAAGTTCAAGCGCGCAATATTCGCCTCGTTTCGCCTCCCGATTCCGCCCCCGCTGGTGCTGCGCACCTATCATGTCGCCTTTTGGCTTTTCGGAGTAGGTGTTAGCCGTTTAAGCTTCCCTTTAATGCCAGCTTCTCAATCCTTGAGTGCTAAATTTATGTTTCCCTGCTTGTGCAGGTTGAGTTTCCGATTGTCAGCGGCGGGACTTTGAAGCGCAACGCACCCCAGAACGAGGAGGGTGTGCGCTGGTATCATGAGCGCATTAAGCGCTAGATGCACAGCGTGATTCTCCGCCGCACCACCAAGCATGGCCCGTTCTGGGATTCCGAGAGGCGCGGCTGGAGTTTTCGCCGCGACAGCATGCTCCACATCCTCGAGGATGTGATGGAGCACCTGTCGCCAACACTGCGCGCTGTCGCACAGGCTCCAATTCTGCCGGTCACCCCGTCCACGGGGACCTGCCCCTGCCCGTGTGTCGTGTACCTGTGTGTGTCCTTTGTGTGTTTGCTCTTGTAAGTGTAGGCTAAATTGTCCCTGACGGATCGCTAATAGAGTAATATTTGTGTAGTGAGACCCCTAATGGCACCACACAACTGCACAAACCCACGGTCATGCTATAACGAGGACTACACCCAGCTACCCCCGGTAGCATGCAAAGCGTGCTGGCTGGATCTGCACGCCGGATTTGCCCGTGGGTTCACCTGTGTTACGTGGTGACCTGTAACAGCTACATACCACCGGACAGCACCTCTTTACAGGCCCAATCTCGATGTTATCACAAACGTTTAAAGCCAAATGACCCTTCTATTTCAATTCTAGTCCATAATTCTAATCCTTATAGAGTGTTTGTAACAGTGTTTCTACCTAAACGATTTCTGTTGAATAGGGTACAGGAATGTCTAGACAATGCTATAACACTCCCTATAGTTTGTTTATGGGGGGTGGCTGCGCACTGCCCAAACAATCTCGCCCCCTCTCAAAGCATTCCGCATAATAATGTTAGTTGTATGTTGACACGAGGTACTTCAGACAGTCTACAAAAAATGTATAAGCATTGTTTCCCACGTGATTTCTTTGTGACGTAGGAACAAAGAGGAGGAACTGGAGAAGGAGCGCGAGAAGGAGCGGCGGAGGCAGCAGGCGCTGCGGCCGGCGGCGAGATGAGCAGGGACGCCACCAAGCAGCGCAAGCAGCGGCGTTGGCGGTGCCAGAGGTGGTGGTGAGGAGAGCGGGAAGGAGGGCGAGAAGTTGGTGACGGGGGGGCAGCTGAGGGGCCTGGGTGTTACAGGGCGAAGGCGAACTCGCCACAGGAAAGTTCGCTCACTAGCGAACTTGTAACCTTCGCCAAAAACTCCAACCTGAAATGTCAAATTCGAGGTTGGAAATCCCAACCTGAAATGTGCGCTTTGGGATTTTCCAAAGCACACGTGAATTCCCAACCAGCAAAGCAGCAGAGAAGAGAGAAGAGAGCATCTTCACGACAGTAAGGCAACAAGTCGCACTATGCAACTACAACTACGTTCCAGCGTCACAAGACTCAGGTGCAATCATCATGAAGACGAAGAATGAGTCAGCAAGTATTATTCTAGAACTATATCATGATTGTACTTTGCATTTCTCCATATGAACAGCTAGGATCCAGCTTAGAGATGTGATCATTGCTTGTACATATTTTGTTCCTAGCTGATGACAGCAGAGATAGGTAATATGGCGGCCTGAACGAGCTTCTCAAGGTGCCATAGTCATTGAAGTGTGTATAAGAGTAGTCGTTCATCGCTTGTATGCCATTCTTGCTTTCAGAAATTTACATAATTCATGCTACCAATTTACCTTGCTGATCTAGACTCTCTAAGCTTAGCATTCAGAACTAATAACAGCCTTAGAGCTGTTCCAATGGGGGGTTTTGAGGCGCCTCAGAAGGCGGCTTTTGAGGCGCCTCAGAAGGGGGGGCAGCTGACGGGCCTGGGGGGCAATTTGACAAGCCCGAACTCGCCCAGATGAGGCGCCGTGGGAGGTGGGGATGCGTGTGACGTACACTCAGAAGACTGGTGTAGGTAGGGGGGATGAAGGTTGAAGGAAGGGGGGATGAAGGGGGGACGAAGGAAGGGGGTTTGAAGGAAGGAGGAATGGAGGAAGGGGGATGAAGGAAGGGGGGATGAAGGAAGGGGGATGAATGAAGGGGGGGTGGATGAAGGGGGGATGGATGAAGGGGGAATGCAGGAAGGGGGAATGAAGGAAGGTGTGATGAAGGAAGGGGGATGAAAGAAGGGGGATGAAGGAAAGTGGGGTGGATGAAGGGGGGTGAAGTGAAGCTGTTGTGTACGAGAGGTTGTGGGTGAGAGGTGACGAACGAGTCTAAGCATCGTTGTCTTTCAAGATGACCGATTGTTCTGGGGTGCCATTGTGTGACGTTCAACATGTGTGAGAGACACTAGAAGGACAATGAGGGGCAGCTGAAGAGAGAGCTGCTGATGGGGCTGGCGGAGGCTATAGAGCATGCCTTGTGTGAGAATTAGAGAATGCCTTGTGTGAGCTCTAGTAGGACCCTTCAAAACACCCTGCAAGCAACTCTCCCTTCCCACCCACTCGTGCCAAAATCCTCCCTTTGTCCCTGACCCCTCCAGCTCCGCTCCGCTCCCGCTTGCTGTTCTCACACCCACTTCCACCCACTCGCACTGACACACCGCTTGCCAATGCACCAATATCAGAACCATCTCAATCCCTCCCCTTGCCCCCTCTCTTTCCCCTTGCGCGCTCACCTTTCATTTACCCCCTCCCCCCTCCTTCAACCACTCCCCCTCCCCTTCACTCTGCCTTTACGCTTGCCCTTCCCCCCCTCCCCTTTCCTTTACCCCTTTCCCCTACCCCTCCCCTACCCTTCCCTATCCCTCCCCTACCCCTCCCATACCACTCCCCTACCCCTCCCTACCCCTCCCCTACCCCTCCCCTACCCCTCCCCTACCCCTCCCTACCCCTCCCTACCCCTCCCCTACCCCTACCCTACCCCTCCCTACCCCTCCCTACCCCTCCCCTACCCCTCCCCTGCACCTCCCCTACCCCTCCCCTACCCCTCCCCTATTCCTCCCCTACCCCTCACCTACCCCTCCCCTACCCATTCCCTACCCTCCCATACCCCTCCCCTACCCCTCCCCTACTCTCCCCTACCCCTCCCCTATCCCTCCCTTACCATGCCACACAGGGATAATGCCTCACCCTCCGCTGCACGGCTTCCGGCGGCACTGCTTCCGGGAACGTAATGATTGCCCCGCGTGATGTGCGCCTGCGTTTCCTGCACTTGTCGAACGCAACGCATTCGATGCGCTCTTCTCCATGACCTGTTGCCCACCTGCCTGCCTGCCTGCCTTTTGAGAATTCTCAAAAGTAATCTCAACTCTCCTGCACTTGTCGATCACAAACGCTTTTCTCCACGACAATGTCGCCCACCTGCCTCGCCTCCCACTTGACCCCTGCCTGCCTGCCTCCTGCCTGTCCCCTGCATTACAGAACCCTCATGGATTCCGAGTCATCCTTAGAATCACTTGTCGCCCGCCCGCCTGCCCACCTGCCTCCGACATACCCCCGGCTTGCCTGTCCCCTGCCTTACAGAACCCTCATGGATTCCGAGTCATCCTTAGAATCACTTGTCGCTCGCCGCCTGAGCCTCGTGCTGTGCTACTCTTCCCACCATGGCGCTGCTCTGTTTCCTCCTTCCCTGCTCCCTCCCACTCCCAACTCCCTCCCTCCCACTCCCCATATTAACTCTGCACCTGTTTCTCCTAGGTGACTTTTGCCCCACTGCACTCATTCTCCCGCCGCTTCTCTCAGCGTCTGGCACTGTTCCGCACCTTTTGTACGCACTTTCTCTCGTAGCCTCTTGAGATATCACCAAAGTGATACAAGCATTGCACTGTTCCTCTCCCCTCGTTTCTCCTCCCACCCTCCCCCGCTCTCCTGCTTAGCGTCTGCTTCTCCAACACCTATTTCTGCCGCACTGCACAGGCTCACGCCCCCACGGCATTGCCTCCCGTACCCCTCTCACAAACCACTGTTGTTCACTCTTGTTACCCCCGATTTCCCTCTCTCTACTCCCTTTCCCCACTCCCCCAGCGCTGCACCTGCCTCTTCTACACCAACTCCCGTCCCCCGGATTGACCGACATCCGCCCCTGGATTTCCGCCCCCACTGCATGGGCCCACTGGTCATAATGGGCAACCTGGGAGCTGCTGACGTGGCGGACGTGTGCGAGAGGTGGGGGGTTGCTAGGTGCCCCGTGGCAATGCTGTCCCAAGGAGCCCCTTGACCTGCCTGTCGTTTTGAGACGTCTCAAAACCTCACCTTTATCACGTGGGGGGGTGCTGGGTGCCCCATCGCGATGCTGTCCCAAGGAGTCTCTTGTCCTGCCTGTCGTTTTCCCTGCATTCACCCAATCTCATCATTCTCGTGTGTGGCAGAGCACCTGTGGGTGAGAGAGGAGTGGGAGAGGGGTGCGAGAGGAGTGGCAGTTGGGGATATGAGAGGAGTGGGAGTTGGGGTTATGAGAGGAGTTGGGGTTATGAGAGGATTGTGAATTTTGAGTGGTTGGGGGTATGAGAGAAGTGAAGAATATCGGTATGAGAGCGGTGGGAGTACAAGAGGAGTGGGGAAGGAGGTATGAGAAAATTGGGGGGTCGAAAGGAGTGGGGATATGATAGGAGAGGCAGGAATAAGCGGCTGTTGGCTGTGGTGTTGAAGTGCGGGCTGGGTAACACCTCTTTTACCGTACCTCCAATTCAATCACCTACTGCCATGCATTGTGCGCCGTGCACACACATGGTTCCACATGCATTGTACGCCTACCGCCATGTGCCATGCTCCGTGCAGCAATCTCTGCCTCGTTCTTTTCCTCCCTTTTCTGACTTGTTAACATCCAACTGCCGAGACTTGGCATCAAAGCGAGGACTCAGCAGCAGCAGAGCTAGGGAACTATCACCCTGTTCAGCACCCTGTTCACTTCTATGTGGTGATACTTGATAGCAATGCAACCCCCTCCAAGCATGAGTGACGACAGCAATGGCACCAGACACGTGTTAGGCATTTCTTTCACCCATCTGCCACCTTACTGTTCCATTCATATCATGATCCCAATCACATCGCACAACTTACCGGTACTGGTGTCGTAAACTCGTAATACAGACAACATACCATCCTAGAACTTGATGCTGCTGCTTCTGCAGCCATTGCTTCCCCTATATCAGCACCTCACAAGCATACAAATATCTCACATCTGACAGACAATCGAAACCGACACCTGAGCATGTTTTTTCCTGCTCCTGCTTCCTCCGCTTCCTTCTTTCCTGTTCCATCTTTCAATGGCGCCAGACATGAGTTAGGCGTTTCCTTCACCCAGCTGCCAACTTACTATTCCATTTATAAACCCAATCACAACGCACAACTCATAATACATTATGAATAATACAGACAGGACCACTACCATCCTAGAACCTGCTGCTGCTGCTGATGCTGCTGCTTCTGCAGCCCTTTCCTCCTCCATCCAGGACCTCACAAGCATACAAAGATCTCACATCTGACAAACAAAAAGAATCCGACATCCAAGCATGTTCTTTCCTGCTCCTCCTTCCTTCTTTCCTGTTCCATCTTCTTCTTGCAAAGTGTTTCATTCAAGGCCAGCAACCTGCTGCTCCTGCTGGTCTTGCTGCTCCATTTTCCCCGACAGCTGGTTATGATAATCTCGTGCCATCTTCTCCCATGCCGCCTTAGCCTGTGCCTCATTCGCCAGTCCCGCTTTCGCCCGAGTCGCCCTCGCATCCTCTGCCACTTTTGCCCGTGCCGCTCTCGCCAGTGCCACCTTCTCCTGTCCAGTCTTCGCCTGCGCTGCCGTCTCCTGTGCCGCCGTCTCCTATGCCACCGTCTCCTGTGCCACTGCCTCCTGTGCTGCCGCCTCCTGTGCCGCCGCCTCCTGTGCCGCCGCCTCCTGTGCCGCAGCCTCCTGTGCCGCCGCCTCCTGTGCCGCCGCCTCCTGTGCCGCCGCCTCCTGTGCCGCCGCCTCCTGTGCCGCCGCCTCCTGTGCCGCCGCCTCCTGTGCCGCCGCCTCCTGTGCCGCCGCCTCCTGTGCCGCCGCCTCCTGTGCCGCCGCCTCCTGTGCCGCCGCCTCCTGTGCCGCCGCCTCCTGTGCCGCCGCCTCCTGTGCCGCCGCCTCCTGTGCCGCCGCCTCCTGTGCCGCCGCCTCCTGTGCCGCCGTCTGCTGTGCCGCCGTCTTCGGAGCCGTCGTTTTCCCTGCCGGCGTCACTCCTGCCGGCGTTGCCTGTGCCGGCGTTGCCTGTGCCGGCGTTGCCTGTCCAGGCGTTGCCTGTGCCGCCCTCTCCTGAACCGCCGTCTCCTGTGCCGCCTTCTCCTCTGCCGCCTTCTCCTGTGCCGCCTTCTCCTGTGCCGCCTTCTCCAGTGCCGCCTTCTCCTGTGCCGCCTTCTCCTGTGCCGCCTTCTCCTGTGCCGCCCTCTCCTGTGCCGCCCTCTCCTGTGCCGCCCTCTCCTGTGCCGCCCTCTCCTGTGCCGCCCTCTCCTGTGCCGCCCTCTCCTGTGCCGCCCTCTCCTGTGCCGCCCTCTCCTGAGCCGCCCTCTCCTGAGCCGCCTTCTCCTGAGCCGCCTTCTCCTGTGCCGCCCTCTCCTGAGCCGCCTTCTCCTGAGCCGCCTTCTCCTGAGCCGCCTTCTCCTGAGCCGCCTTCTCCTGAGCCGCCTTCTCCTGAGCCGCCTTCTCCTGAGCCGCCTTCTCCTGAGCCGCCTTCTCCTGAGCCGCCTTCTCCTGAGCCGCCTTCTCCTGAGCCGCCTTCTCCTGAGCCGCCTTCTCCTGAGCCGCCTTCTCCTGAGCCGCCTTCTCCTGAGCCGCCTTCTCCTGAGCCGCCTTCTCCTGAGCCGCCTTCGCCAGCTGCTGCTGCTTCTTGCTCTTCTTCCGCCAGCTCCGTTTATGCAAATTCCGCCGCCACTGCTTCCCCACATTCTCCTGGGGCTTCCACTCTCCAATTGCCGCCAGCATTCTCTGCTTCTCGACTTCCACGCGTACCTGCTCAGCAGCCTGAAGCTGCTCGTCGTTTATCAACTTCTCATCCCGCTGCTCCTGCTGCTGCAGTTGTCGCTGCACTGGAGCACCATCTCGGACACGCAAGTGAGCCCACGAATCGCCAGAGTCAACGTTCCCAGCAACCGAGGGCCCGACGGAAGCTTGGACTACCGCCTGTGAGGGGGAAGAAAGTCGGGAGAATTGTAGAGGCATGCGCCGACGGATTGCCAGTTTGCGAAGAAACAGCGAGAAAGGGGTGCAATCAGTCGTGAAGCGTTGGTGGGGTTGTAGAGGCATGAGTGAGCGTCGACGGATTGCCAGTTTGCGAAGACAGCGGGAGGAGGGAGCAGCTCGTAAGCCCTACGAAAATCAGCTCTTCGGACCACTGCCATTCCACGGGGTTTCACATCAGAAAAGTAACATATTTGCAGAGATTTCGTGGCTCTGCCCTTTGCAATCCTACGTTGGGCGCGCTTCGACGAGTGTGCAAATCAGATCATCAATGACCCTTGTGAGTATTCTCGGCGTACTCCCAAAGGATGGGTCGAAGAAGGAAACGTCGAGGGTGAGCATCTTACGTCGATCGTTCTCATTGGAGGAAAGCAGCCGGCCACGAGCTCCTTCGCTGTATCGCGGCCCGCAAGTTAAGGCCAGGACGAGAAGGAATCCCAGTAGCATAATGACTGTCTCGTGACGAATTTGACTATGAAAGGTGGTGCTGTTGAACTGTTGAGTGGGACTGTCGATTCTGTTCAGTCTGCACTGCCGGTGTGGATTTACAACACGGAAAATATAGGCACAAGGACTTAGCTACGCTGCTGGGGGTTGTGAAGCGGATACTGACTGGTTCCAAATATGCTCGAGTCACCACCAGTAATCTCATGCTGTGCATAAATCACACCCCTTCCCATCACGAAATAATGCAGGGGTGCGATAATGCGAAAAATCGATAATGCAATCCTGAAATTCAGAAATGGTAAGGGCCTGGTGCATTGTGTGTTTCTCGAGGTCCGATCAACGCGGGCCGGGTTCGAGTTCAAAACATGGTTCAGGCTGTTGATCCTCTAAATTGTGAATGAGGTGTAACAGCTCGATACTTGATACTTCACCTGACACAACGGAAGCAGGAAACGTAGTCGCTCAATCAGCACCTTTGTTACTCATCGCGATTTTCGCTCGAGTTTCTGGCTGGGGAATAGATTGGCGAAGGTCCAATCACAGTAGCATAGTCCTTTACTGACTGTTCGATTCCGCGGTCCGGCCCCAAACCGAGTTTAGAAGAGAGGGTTACCCACTTCGAGTTCCAGCATAGACCTCACTTGGACTACATTGACCAGGTCCTGAGGTACAATAATGTGGGGATGCGATAATGCAATGAACCTCCCAGACGAAACACCGGCGACACGCGAAATTAGCGAAACGCGCTAGGAAATAAAGATGCGATCGTTTTCATCTAAGCTACAGTTCGTTATACTAGAAACTAATCAGATGTCACGCAATAAGTATGAGCAGCCCTACCGGTTCTCTTTTAGGAGAAAAATACGGTATGAATGCTGTTGGACTGAAATTGCCTTAGAATTCTTTAGAGTTTAGTGACAACAAGAAGTCTAAGTTTCTCTGCTCGTTGAATGCGAGAACAAGAATTGATCATAATGAAGAAGTACAAAAATGATGTAGTCCAGCAGAATAGAGTACCTGTTCGGTAATGTACATATTCGTGAACTGTGTTATTTATCAAAATGACTCCCGAATCGATACTTTCCTGTGTTATGCGAACAGTCACGAGAATGTTCTCGCTACTACTTGTAACCCATGCGAATCGACACATGCTACAATAACATGCATATATAATAGTACTAGACACATGCTACAATAACATGCATAATAGTACTACAATACTACTTTAATGATCCAACTACTGTATTGCATAAGTCTTTTGCTTCATCTTCAACTACGATCGCTGCTGCGAAAGTATTGACACCGACTCCATCTCCACCATTCACGGCTGCAGTCTCCATTGTAACTATCTACTCTTCCTGCCTCAGTGTTGCCTCCACACTTGCTGACGTATCATTCGAGTCCTCACTCTCATCCTCCTCAGTCGATAACTCCTCCAATTTTCCCATCTCAGTTTACCCAGGATCTTCATAGAGGATCTTCATAGACCTCATAGTTCATCGTTATTAGGTTCGTCTCATAGAACCCATCACTGAAATAACCATCCGCATACGTCTCCCATTCAGGACCAAACACAGCCACCTCGCCACTAATATCTTGCACCCCAAGTCATCAAGCTGTGGGTAACTAATCAGGTTCACCTTTAAATCCTCAACTAATAGAACACTCTCCAGTTTCACCTCTCCATAAGGACTCTGGAGCACCACATCACCATCTCATGTCATTGGAAACTTCCCACTGTTACTTTGCAGTATATAACTCTCTCTTGACTTCCTCACGCTCTCCATCCAATCTGACCTGAATGCCATGTGACTTGTGCATCCGCTGTCGATGAACCATGCCGTCTTCTCACGTTCATCCGTTTGGTGAACATCCTTCGGTAAACGCACCACACTCGCAACATGCGCTCCTCCCAAAATCACATCTTCGTTTTCCTGTTTCTCTACATTCGCCTTTGCCGCCACATTCCTCTGCTACGATGGTCCCTTGTAGCTCTTACTGTACTATTCAGGTTGGAGTAACACTCTGTGGCTCGATGCCCGTAGTGCCCACAACAATCACACTTGCCGCTGAATCCTCGTTTCTGCTGCCACTCCGTTCCCCTATTATTCGTTTTCTCGTTCTCCACCACTTTGCCCTTAAGTGAATTTTCGTGCTTTGTGGATTTTCGTAGCAGCTAATCACCTTATGCCCCCTCTTTCTGCGCTGGTAGCACACTCCAAACCCCTTCGTTGCATTCAACAAATCCGGCCTCTCCTCATCGAGTTCTTAAGCTGCTGCTGCTGCTTTCTTTTTCCTCATCTCCTTCACCGTTTCAAGAGATTGCAGAATCTCCTGCAGATTTGTCAACTTCCCAGCGGTTGGTACTTTAACATACCGATGTCTGATTCCCACTCTTTAGGAAGGCCTTAAATGATATAGTCAACCATCTCATGCTCTGTATCCGCGGCTCCCATCACTCGCAAGTCGTCGTTGTAGCTTTTTGTCCTATTGATGCATGTGATGATTATCTCACCTTTCTCCATGTTCAGCATCAGCAGTTGGTTCCTCAAGCGCCGCTATTTTCTCCTTCGTATCCGTCGTGGAAGGCCCAACTCCCTCATTCGTCTCCTCGTCGGGACGGTAGTATGGTAAGAGGCCAACCTCCTCTGCCATCCGAATGAACTTCTTTCACCACATGTTGTAATTGCCCTTGTTGAAGCGTCGGGCTTCGATGAGCCCGATCGTCGGTTTCGCCACCAATCGGCCACTCGTAAGGGCCTTGAGAAGAGCTTTCGATTGCGGGTGTCCAAGACTCACACTGAAACCCGAACTTGCCCCGTCTGTCATGGCGTAGGCGCGAATAACTCCTCTTCTCTACTAATTGCACTTGACGCACCAAATGAATTCACGACGATCGACGCGCCCGTTCGCCAATTTCTGGTACCAGTTCTAGGTCGGCAATAGTCTACTTGCTATCGCCAGAGGAGCTTCAGAGCTGGAGCTGTTGACCGACGTACAGCACCACTGGGCTCGTGTCCTACGTGTCAAGTGATGAAGAGCTCGAGAAAAAGAAAGGCGGGTCAGCTGCAGCCGATTCCACCGCCCGAGCGCGCCTGGCAGCAGGTTAACATGGATTTCGTCACGGAGTAATGACGTGGTAATGGTCGTCGTTGACAGACTGGCAAAAATGACTCACTTCGCTGCGTGCAGGAAATCGATCTCAGCCGAGGAAAACGCTCGCCTATTCATCGCAACCGTCATTCGACTACATGGGATACGAGCCGCGATAATCAGCGACCACGACACGAAGTTTACCTTCGACTTCTGGAAAAACATCTGGGAGCAGTTCGTGACCAAGCTACAGTTCAACTTGTCATACCACTACGAGACCGACGGTCAAATGGAGCGGACGAATCGAACCATGGAGCAGCTGATTCGTGCCACGTGCAACGACCCGACAACATGGGAGCAGCAGCTGCCGCTGATCGAGTTCGCCTACAACAACGCCACGTCAGCGACGACGCAGCAGTCCCTATTTTACCCGAACAAAGGGCAAAATCCAATAGTGCCCATGACGCCGAGTCCGGACAACCCAACGTCACGCGCACAGCAATTTGCAAAAAATTTGCAAGTTGCCCGCACCAGAGCGGCAGAACCGGTTAGAAAAGCAAATGTCATCGCTAAGAGAAATGCTGATGGCCACCGCCGCCCAGTCACATACCAGTCAGGAGACTACATACTGCTGGACACACAGAACTTAAGACTGCCCGTCGTACTGAAACTTCGACCGCGATACTGTGGACCGTTCCAAATGAGCCACATGATTACCCCAGTTACGGCCCATTTACTGTTGCCGACAGACTGGTACATCAGCCCATCATTCCACGTCAGCCTGTTTCATGCGACGGGCCCGCGGACAGTTGTTCGCATTTAGCAACAAAGTTGGCCCTGAATCCCCATTTGCTCAAACGGCGCCTCGGTCTCCCTCTTTCGGCGTCTTGTCCTCCACTATCCCTCGTGTCGGCGCTAACTTCTGCAATTCACGGTCGACCTTGTTGCGGTTGCGATCAATTCTGATGAAAAAGGATTGCAGTTTCACCAGTGGGATAAATTGTCGAAGAGACAACCGTCACCATTTAGGCCTTCAGTAGCGCATCAGTTACCCTTCGCCAAGAAGGAGCAGGAAAGAGACGAGCAGAACAGATTAATAGCTGCTCTAAAGGGCAGATGAAAGGAGACGTGGCTTCATGCCGAAGCGACCTTGGCGACGGCGATGGTGAGTCGACCCAGTGTAACCGTGTCAACATCATGCGCCCTTTTACCCCCTTATCCCCTCCAACATGCTCGCTCTTGATTGTTCATGTTGCGCTTTCACCCGCGATTCGCCTTCGTCGCTCCATGCAATATCATGTCACAACCCCGCCCTCCTCGCCCCACATGCCCCTGCGCGTAGAGGCAAAATGAGCGTCCCCACAGATTAAGAACATCTGTCACCGCGACATGGACGCTGGGATTTGCGGTAGCCATTAGAGAGCCACACCGATGCGACGCCTATGCACGGCGTCAGCGCTTGTGCAATCACTCTCCACAATCTTCCCCTCCTCGTCACCCCCTTTCCTTCCCCCTCTCCCCAAACCCCCCCTCTTCTCCTTTCCTCCTCCCCATCACCTTCCCTCTTGCCATGCCGGTGTGCATCTGCAATGGCGCGACAGATGCGTGACGGCCTGGGTCAGGAGCCAAGTCTCGCTGACGCAGCAGCAACAGCAGCAGCCGAAGTGTTGGTAGGGTGGGTGCTGACGTGGGTTGCAGCAGGGACAAGAGTGGAGCCGACGAGAGGCCAGCGGCGCGCAGGTGGGGGATAGATAGATTGGAAGAAAGGAGCAGACAAGAGCGAGTCGAGAGATGGAGCACTGGGGCAGAGGCACAAGCAGGCGGGACTGGATCAGTGTGAGGGGGCGTGTGAGCATGCTGCACCGAGGCTAGATGGCACATGGGGGAGGCGAGCTGCGACACATGGTTGGTGGAGGCGAGCTGCGACACATGGTTGGTGGAGGCGAGCTGCGACACATGGTTGGTGGAGGCGAGCTGCGACACATGGTTGGTGGAGGCGAGCTGCGACACATGGTTGGTGGAGGCGAGCTGCGACACATGGTTGGTGGAGGCGAGCTGCGACACATGGTTGGTGGAGGCGAGCTGCGACACATGGTTGGTGGAGGCGAGCTGCGACACATGGTTGGTGGAGGCGAGCTGCGACACATGGTTGGTGGAGGCGAGCTGCGACACATGGTTGGTGGAGGCGAGCTGCGACACATGGTTGGTGGAGGCGAGCTGCGACACATGGTTGGTGGAGGCGAGCTGCGACACATGGTTGGTGGAGGCGAGCTGCGACACATGGTTGGTGGAGGCGAGCTGCGACACATGGTTGGTGGAGGCGAGCTGCGACACATGGTTGGTGGAGGCGAGCTGCGACACATGGTTGGTGGAGGCGAGCTGCGACACATGGTTGGTGGAGGCGAGCTGCGACACATGGTTGGTGGAGGCGAGCTGCGTGGTGGAAGGAAGGGACGAGAAGAGAACGGGCAGGTCGCACGTGGCTCTGCCTGCTGCCACCACCGCTGCCTCTGCTGCTGCTGCCCATCCTGGTGCACTTTCGCTTGCAGTACTGCAGCTGGAGGGAGCGCAGAAAGCCATGGGAAGGATGGATACTCCCCTCACATAACGGCACGAACGGAAGGAGCGGACTGGAAGTAATGGAAGGAGCGAGAAAGGGATGAGTGGAATGCGAGAGGAGGGACGAAGCTCCCCGATAGTGAAAGTGGTAGATTAATGGGGAAGGGGCCTCGAGGCTGGAACGACGGCTGTTCGACAAAGCCTTTGCGATGGCGATGGTGAGTTGACTCTATTAGCATAATCACCACGTCATCATGATGGCCCCACGTTCTCCACGTGCCATCGCATTGCAATGGTCCTCACATGAACCACCTCCGCTCCCACGTCCTCACATGAACCACCTCCGCTCCCACGTCCTCACATGAACCACCTTCGCTCCCACATCTTCACATGAACCACCTCCCAGAATCTTTAAGTGTGCGCCCCCCTCCCTGCACGCAACGCTTCCAGCTTCCCCGCCTCCCCGCCCTCCATGTAGAGGCTCAAAGGGTAACTCATCTCATCGGGCCTTGAACCACTCGGAGTAACTGGGTTTAGCCTTTTCATTAAAGTCTGCTGACGTGTAACAGGCCGCCTTGCCCCCTTGCCTGCGGACTGACAGATTCCACCTTGCTATCTTCCCGTGACATGTGCCACAAAATGCTTGGCAGCTGGTCGGGTTGCAGCCATCTGGTGCATCATGATTTGACTGCCCATCTGTGCCGGCCCCAACCTTCCTCCCCCTCCCCGCTCTGTTCTACGCTTCCGCCTATCCATGTCGGTGTCGTGGCAGATGTACGGCAGATGTACGGCTGCCCTGCCGGGATCTGAAGGACCATCAATGCAGCTGTAGCGGCAACTAGATGCTGATGTGGTGTGCAACAGGACAGGGACATGGCTGGTGTGACCGGAGCTGATGAGGGACATAAGCTGATGGGAACGGAGTGGTGTGCAACAGCCAAATTACGTGCTACAGTAGGTAGGGCAGCAGCGAAGTCAAGCAGGGCATATACGAGGTGAGGCGGCAGCAGGATGGGCAGACATACATGAGGCGAGAGGGGGGGCAGGGACACAAGCAGGCGGGACTGGGGCATAGTGAGCTTAAGCATGTGAATACGATGCACCAAGGTCGCAAGGCACATGGAGAGGGGGTAAAGGGGGGGGAGATGGGGGGGAGGGTACGCATGGTTGGCGAAGGCAGGCCATGTGGGGAAAGGGGGGGGTGGTGCTGCTTCAAGAAAATCCGTTGTGGCAGGGAGGGATGTGGCAGGGAAGGATGTGGCAGGGAGGGATGTGGCAGGGAAGGATGTGGCAGGCCGTCGGACCAATGTATGCTACCACCCTCATGTAACGCCACAATGGAGTGCAGGATATGGCAGGTAACGAGCTGACTTTTAGTCGTCTCAAAGTTCACCTCGTTACAACGGCACGCAGGACATTCTCATTGGGAATCATGGAACCACTACACCCACATAATGTCACAGTCAAGGGTAGGGTGCAGCAGGTTTCAAACCGCTCCTCTTCTCCTTCTCTCGGCCCTCCAACTTCCTTACCCCCCTGTAGGGTTACTCCTGCTTGCTGTTTCCATGCCGTCTTGCACCCACTCGCACAGCCACACTGCTTGCCAAGGCACCACCGCAAGGCCATTGTGAACCCTCCCCTTACGCCCTCTTTTTCCACTTACACGCTAACCTTTCACTTGCCTCCTCCAACTCCCTTACCCACTGCCCCTCCCCTTACCTCATAATAACCTTGCCCTCTCTCCGTTCCTTTATCTCCACCCCCTCCCCTTACCTCCTCCCTTCCCCCTTACCCTCCTCCCCTCCCCCCTCCCCGACCCCCCCCCTAACCCCTTTCCCTCCCGTTCCCCGTATCCACGGTGCCAGGCTCTGTCATGACCCGTCTCGGGACTCGTCCCCATTGAATTCACACGGTCTGATTGGAGTGGCTGGGCCTGCGGTGTGCGAGTGGAGTGGGGGCATCACCGCGGGTGTCAAGCCGGCCGATGATCGCACCCGCAGCTGCACCACCGCCAGCGGCGCCACTGCCGGAAACGTAATGATTTCCCCTGAACTGCTCCCCCTCTCTTCCAACTCCCTCTCCCAAACACCTACCTAACTTCATCCCCGCTGCACTCACCCTTCTTCTTCTCTCAGCTTCTAGCACTGATATGGTTTGCAGCTCTATTTTGCACTTGAGGTTCTGCGCATCGAAAATTATCAACGTGACTCAAGCATGGCCCACTGCACTGACTCCCGCCCTTACAGAACTGTTTGGCACCTTTGTACACCCTTTTTCGTACCCTCTCAAAGGCTTGGGACCCTCCCTTCCTTTCCCTGTTTCTCCCTCCTCTTCCAGCTTTCCCTTCCCTCCTCCCCCACCACCCCCCCCCCCCCCCCCCCCCCCACCCACACCCACATTGTCTTCCGCATCAACTTCAAAGGACTCTGCTCCTTTCCCTTCTCCCTTTCCCCCTCTCTGCTTCCTCCATCCACCCTGCCTCCTCCCCCTTCCATCACCAACCCACCGCCCCCCCTCCACCAGCCCCGCACCTGTTTCTTGACTTCTCCCCCATTCTCTCCGCCCTTAAGGGCTATTCGGGCCTGCTCAGTGCACTTGTGGCTGCTCGGTGCCCCAGAGGAGGAAGAAGGAGGTGCGTTCCTTGGGGCAACCTGCGGGTAACCTGCGAGAGGGGGATGCTGGGTACTCCCGTAAAGCAGTTTTCTTCCTTGCGGATGAGCAGGGGGAAAGGTGGTTTGTTGGGCGAAACGAGGTGCGTGGTGCGAGGAAGGAGGTGGGCTATAATGAATCACTGGTAGTGGTCATTACTGGGTAGTGAGAAGAACATGGGTGGTGAGGGGAACGTAGGTGGTGAGGGGAACATGGGTGGTGAGAGGAACATGGGTGGTGAGGGGAATGTGGGTGGTGAGGGGAACGTGGGTCACCCGTGGATCAGGAGCATTTCAGTGGCAGGTCAGTGGGAGGTCAGTGGCAGATCAGTGGCAGACCAGTGGCAGGTCAGTGGCAGGTCAGTGGCAGGTCAGTGGCAGGTCAGTGGCAGATCAGTGGCAGGTCAGTGGCAGATCTGTTGGTGCAACCCTACGGTTTGCACTCGGCTTGTTGTCCGTGTGCGTGAATGTGTGTGTGTATGGAATGGTATGAGGGCATGGGATAATATATATTTCATGCTTATAATTGTGTGTGAATGTTGAGTCATGATGTCGAGTGTGTGTGTCGAGTCAATAGCGAGTTATCGCTAGACGCGTGTTACGCGGTCGTTTGTGTCTCGCGCGCGGTTTCTATTTTGTCGTGCGCGGTTTCTATTTTGTCCTGTGTCGAACGTTTGGCGTGTCGCAGGTGTGTGCAGCAGACCCATCAAGAACTCAAGGATGAGTTTGTGATGAAGAGCCCGAGCCTTGGTGTCAAGCCTCAAGTGATTTCGAAGCTCGCCAAAAGGGTACACCTCAAGATATTGAAGATAGTTACATTACTTTGTGTAGTGTAACATTTCACTTGGTGTAGGCCCTAGTGAAGGGTAGTTTCGAGACCCTTCGTGGTTGGGGACAGTGTGGCACTGTTCCACATCACTGTACCTCGGCTCTTGGGGTTTGTAGGAGCTGGGAGTCATTCCCAACTCGTAACTCTTCCTATCTTGTGTTCTAAGACTATAGTGGCTGCCATAGTACCGTTCGTTCAAACCGACGCTGTGTCGTCAATTCTTCATCAAATCGTGCAATCTAAATTGCTAATTGTAGACGACGTGAGGGCGCTCCAGATCCAATTTGAATCAAGTCATTTGCAGCTGTGAGCAGAACGCTATCAACGTTTGAAGCCGCTGTGCAGAAATCCGTCTGTGCTCTCTATCTTTCGTTTTAGGCACATTCAAGCCTATTGTGACTATAACAAGTGGTATCAGAGCCCCTTGGAGCAGTTTCGACAATGTCTGGACCTGAGGAAAGGGGTGGCAGAGGTGCTGGTGGCAGTGGTGAAGCTCAAGCTCAAGGCCAACCCCGTGATTCAGCCATGGCGCCCATGCAACCAAGTCTTGGCCCACCTAGGGATGAGCCTAGGGTGTTTGGGCTTGACAAGTTCAACGGTGACAACTTTGCTGAATGGTCCTTCAAGATGGAGAACATCTTTGACCACTATGACCTGCTGGAGGTGATGGAAGGAACGGAGAAGCGCCCCGAGAACGACCCGGAGAAGAGCCCGTGGGTGCGGAAGAGCGCACAAGGCTATCTCTTACTTGGGCAAGCGTTGGGGAGCAGTCAGATCCGTCACATCAAGCCATTCCAGCGTGAACCAGAGAAAGGACCAAAGGCATGGGCTGCTCTCAAGGGTGTACATGCTCCTGCAACAGCGGCGGTAGCGGTGGTGTTGGAACGGCAAATGGCGGCACTACGAATTGAAGAAGACGAAGCGGTTGAAGAAGGGGTGCAGAAATTCTTCGACTTGTTGACGCGGCTTGAGGGAGCTGATTTGAACTACAGTGAGCTCCAAAAGAAGACCAAGTTGCTGGCCTTACTCCCAGAGTCATGGTCCTCGCTCATCATCAACCTTAATCGCGACTTGCCCCGCCTCTCGCTTGAAGACGTGAAGCGAGCTATCCTTCAAGAGGATTTCCGCCGCCGTGAGTTGGCGAGTGCGGATGGCGCTGGGGCAGCGAGCATCGGCCGTGGATATGGTCGAGGAAGAGGCAGAGGACGAGGGGGAGGAAGGTTTGGTGGCAGCAACTTCGGCGGAGGCCGCAGGAGTGGCGGTTACGGCAGCGACGACAAGAGCTACGGACGCGGTCGCGGCCGATTCGACGGCGAGTGTCACTATTGCCACAAGAGCGGACACATGTGGCGCGACTGCTACAAACTCCTTGATGGTTGGACCCCTGCTCAAGGCCAAGAGGGTAGAGGAGCAGGAGGAGGGAGAGGACGAGGCCGTGGAGGCCGTGGCGGTCGCGGTGGCGGAGCTGCAAACATGAAGAGCGGAGACAACGACAAGGACCCGAGCGACGATCGATACCCGAGTCTATTCTACTTCGTGTCGAC